GCATGCCCTCCACCTCCCAGGAGCTCACCTTTGAGAAGTGACTCTGAGTCTCCCACCGTTTCTTCTTCTGAACAGGGGAAAGGAATTCCTTGTTGTCTGTTTGGCCACCAGTGCAATTTATTTTTCGTCTTTCCAAACTATGAAAATGGAGAAAGTTCTTACGGAAGTCACTTAACTTTTGATCTGAACTCGCCTAAATACATGTCTGAATCCTATGACTAGGTTAGGATTTGGAACCAAAATGTTCATTTTGAAGACAGCTCTAAAATGACCCATTATTAGATTAAGCCGATTCTAATTCGATCAGCCATCTCTTGACATAAAGAAGGAAAATTTTATTTTTTTAAAAAGTGGCAGTTTCTAAGAAACTGGCCCCATAATCTTAAATTAAAAGCAGGTTTCCACACGTTGGACTCATGCCCCTTGAGCCTTTGGTATTACATTTGGACTATTTGGTTAGTTAAATAATGGTAACAAAAGAAGACAGAATAGATTATGTTAAATAAAGGGAAATTTAAGAAAGTAATTATGGGATTAAGTTGGGCCAGGAGGTGAGGGTTGTAAGTAATAAGATCACTGCTATTCAAACACAGTGCTGTGTCTCCATCTGGCATGGGGCTTCCTGGATAACGGGATGCTTTAGCCCACTCCTAACTTGAGAAATGGGGAGACTTTTACAGGTTCTGAAATATCTTGTGTGAAGTTGCTTAACTTCTTATGTTAAGGAAGGTACTGACATTCTATAAAACAGAATAGGAGAGTTGTCAGTTAAAATGGGCGAGGCATGTGAAGGCAGAAAGTTCATTTTCTGTGAATCTCGTAGACTACCTTGTCTACTTGACTAATCCAGGGATGTCTAAGAGAGAAACAATGTGAAATAGAACCTTCGGGCCAATGGGGCCTAGGAACTTTTGTCTTATGTAAAAGCCATGAAAACAAAAACCAGAACACTGGACGCCGCTATTTCCAGTGAGAATGAAATGTCTGCCCACTGCTCCTGTGACTGCAGCTTAGAAGAGGCCACACCCCAGAATGAGAGTGGGGGAAGAACGGGCTCTGCTTGCTTTGCACACTTCTTTCGTTTGTGTTTTTCTAGTCCCTCCAGCTCACGTCCCGTCTTCACGATTGCACAGCCAGTGCTCCGGAGTGCAGAGCCTTCTCCTCAGCCCCTCCAATTGTCAATTTTATGTCATAGCGTTTTCTCAGAAAGTTCTGGAAGGGTGGAAAAAAGGTGGGCTCTGAAAGAGAAAAGACAAGCTGAAAGGTTTGTTACTGGCTGACTCTGTTCAGATAGTTACGGGAACCTTAAAAGTTCTAGCCTTTAAGACCTCCTTTAAGACTTCAATTAAAGATGCTATGAATGGCTAAAGGGAGGCTAAGATCTGAGGGTAAAATGTCTACTCACAATGGGAAACTTCTGTCCATGTCTATTTTTTTCTCTTCGATGCATCCTTCTCATTGTTTGACCCGTTTACGTGTTCTCTTTGCTCTACATTGTTCTTAGTTCTACCTGTTACAAATGTTCCCAGTCAAATATACCCTGAAAACCAACAATTCCCCAGTGCTAGCAGGTTCCAGGGCCCCATAGGAAAACAGATAAGGGTTTTCACTTCTCTCTCTCTCTCTCTCTCTCTCTCTCTCTCTCTCTCTCTCTCTCTCTCCCACACACACACACACACACACACACACACACACACACACAGAGAGAGAGAGAGAGAGAGAGAGAGAGAGAGAGAGAGAGAGAGAGAGAGAGATCTGTGGGAGTGGATAGTACACATCCCATGAACTTCTTAATGGAGAAAGTTAGTTAAGAAAGGAATTAAATCATCAGGGAATTCTAGAGGAGAAGGTTAGTGCACTACACTATATTTTTAGGTAGTAGAAAGAGCTAAATGGTTTGTTTTTAGTAAAATTATGAATAGAGCACATATTGTATTGTAAATCAGAGTGCTGCTTTTTTCCTCTCCCAGCATGCATAGAATCAGGTAACCAAGCAACCTGGGAAAACAGTCAGGTAGAAGCCACAGATCTTGATCAGATAGCACATACCCCAGACACTGCAGTTTCCATGGGCCTGGGTCTGGAGTTAGACTTACTCCTCTAACTGGTAGAAACAAAGCAGGGGCCCGGGCCTCTAAATAGTTAGCTCTGGCCTTTGCCGTTATCAGCTGTTCTGGTCATGGGGCAAGAACAGAGCAGCAGCTTGGAGATCTGTGAGTATCTTAAATGGGATGCTCTTTGCCTGGACCCTAAACTCTGACCAAATGCCTGCTGATAAAGATAATTGCAGGAAGGCAGATCTCTGTGCTTACCTAGGAGAGAGGAACAAGGTCTGGCAGTGGAAAACTGTTTTTACATGCAGCCCAAAGGCATAGAAAACAGTTCTGAACTAGGGAATTAGTCTCCAAATACGTAACAGAAAGGAAAGTCAGCTACAGTGAAAAATCTACAGCAAAAGACAGCCACTTTATTCACAAAACGATAACGGCAAAAAGCCTTGCCTTTTGGTTTAGCCTTTCCCAGATCCCTTGGTTCTAATAAGTTGCTCTTGAAAAGATGGCTGAGCAATTACTGTATAATGTTGTGGCTTGTAGCAATATAACAGTCCCAAAGTGACACAATTAGAGAGAAGATGGATCTGTGGGTGCCTGGCAGGAGCTGGGGCCATGAAAGAGGTCAGGACGACTTCCCTGACAGGATGACTGGATTGTTGTTGCCTTGTTATGGAAAGAGTTGCAGAAACCTCAAATGTACATGCACAAAATTTCACACACACACACATACACGCATGCACACACACTCATACGCATGCACAGGGACACACGCATGTGCACATACTCACACACATGCAAGCAAGGCAAACATGCATGCACACACACAGAGCATGCAAACACTGGTGAAATCCACATAAACCTTTTAACTAAGGGTCTGTAAATTAACCTCAGGAGAAGCTGGGCAAAGGAACTGTCTATGACTCCTCAGTTTTGCATGAGTTTATAATAATAATCTCAAAGAACTTAAAACTCATACACATAAAATCACAGTCCATCGATAATGTCACAAAGGTTGATGAATGCAGTTTTGTGTCATCTTTAGTAATTGCCAGATTTTAGTCACTGGTGCCTCTTTATTTGTCCCTCTTCCCAATGTGGCCACATGGAATAAAACCCTTCTCTGCTCTTCACTGCTGTGAGTCTGTTTAGCTGCCTGGCGAGCACACATGAGTGAGCTCCCAGGTTGTGAGAGCTGCCAAGGCCCAGTGCGTTCTGATACTCTCAATTGGTACCAGCAAGGCAGATAAGGAGAAGATTGCATTGTTATTTCAAGGTGGAGGATACTAGAGCAAGCTTGTAACTTCAAGGGAAAAACCCAGAGGAGAGACAGAGATCTGACAAAACGCACACTTAGGTTAATGCCAAAGCCACAGCCTATCTCTCTGTCACATGCCCCCTCTCTCAGGTGCTCCAGATCCTCTTCCAAAGCTTCAGTCCCGTGTCCCTTCTCAGTTCCAGGGACCACAGGTTCATCGGAGGGCAGCATATTTTTCTCTTCATGGTCTACAGCCTCTGTTCTGTTGTGTTTCTTCCAAAGGTCATGGGCATTTGAAAACAGTCTCCTTCACTGACCTCTGCTCACAGCAATCCCCCAGCTCCTCCAGCTTTCTCCAGACATAGAGAGATGGTCTCGTTCATCTCTAGTAATGTCAATTTATGCCAGCATTATTAATATTTTTGGTTTTTTTTACAACATGTTTTTAATAATTATTGGGGAATTTCATGCTCCCTGATCACACTCTTTTCCTGTTCCTCCCAGGTACACCCTCCACCTTGCACCTTCCTCCAAACAAATAAATAATTAAGAAAACAAAAACAAACAAATAAACACCGAGTCCAATTTGTGTTGCCTCTGTACTCACTGGAGCGTGGTCCAACTCCCAGCGGCTAACCCCTTGAACAAGCTAAGTCCTTCAACCCCCATCCCCCGCCCCTGTAAAGAGCCACACTCAACATCTCTATCATATTTTTTAAAAGACTCTCCAGTAATTTCATGTCTGTTTCTTTGGGGAGCTTGGCACAAAAGCCTTCAATGTCTTTCATTCTCAGTTATGAGTCTGCAGTCATCGATATCACCACAAAAGATGCCTCCCCACCCGTTGTAAAAGATGGCAGCCAGCAGCAGCATGGATCAGGAAGTTAACATGGTTTCCAGGAGCAGCACAGATGTGGGCATCAACAAGGCTTCTAGAGGCAACACAGATCATGGAAGTCTTTCAAGGAGACCCAGAAAATGAGCCATTCTTTCCAGAGTGAGCTTGTGGATGGGCAGCCCGTCTGGAGACAGGCCCTGTGTGAGCTCCGTGCTGTTGTCTGTCACCTTGCCCTCAGGGCAGCATCCCTTCCAGTTCCTATGGTGTGATGTTTGCACCCCAATAGTAGCACTACCTGCCCCACACACCAAGCGGCATGAGAAACACAAGTGCAGAAGGCATCTCCAAGCTGCTGAACTGGGGCTGTGGGGCTAGGTCTGCAGCCCAGTGCACCATCCCATCCTGCAGCCATGGGGTGATGTGGTGAGGTAGTTCCAGTGGTGGCCAGAGCCTCCTGGTGGCCTGGTGACCTGCTCTGCTGGGCAATAATGTTCTCCTTTATCCCCCATGGGCATGGTCCCAAACCTGTAGCTGCCACCATGTCTCTAGTTCTGCTTCCTTTGCCTTGTGTGTTGTGTGCCCTATCACTTAGCCATCTTTATTCTGGTCAGAATAAATACATTCTCTGTCTATTCTGTCCCCCTACATTTTAAACCATTCCCATGTTTGCAACTAACATTTTTTTAACAGACGTAATTCACATTTATTTTTCTGTATAAAAACTCTTAATATGGTGGCCACAGCTGGAGCCAGGGTCCTCTGAACAGAGCCTCTGGTGTGGTTTTTCACAAGATGCTCAGTGAATTCCTGATAAGGAGACTTGGTGAACACATCTCTTTCTAGCAGTCGGGGGTCAGGTCTTAGAGGTCTTAGAGATGGCATCAAAGGTGGCCTTGGAAAAGTTGCCCAGGGTGTCAGTGCAGTCCCTGGCTGATGTGTAGCAGTCATCAATGCCAGCCATCATCAGTAGCTTCTTGGGCACAGGAGCGGAGACTATGCCAGTGCCTCTGGGGGCAGGGATGAGACGCACCAGCACAGAGCCACAGCGGCCTGTCACTTTGCAAGGAACAGTGTGGGGCTTGCCAATCTTGTTCCCCCAGTAGCCTGTCTGTACAGGGACAATGGAAAGCTTGTCCAAGATGATGGCCCCTTGGATGGCAGCAGCTATCTTTTTGTAGTACTTAACATGGAGACCAACAAGACCATTGTAGTCCTCAATAGTGATGAAAGCCTTGAACCTGGTCTGCTGGTCTGCCCTAGTCTGCTTCTGCACTGGCGTGATCTTCAGAACCTCATTCTTTAGGGAAGCTCCCAGGAAAAAGTCAATAATCTCAGATTCCTTAATGAGCAGGGAGAACAGGTAGATCTCTTCTAGGGACTTGATTTCCATGTCCTTAACCCGGCGGCCCAGCTTGGTGATGGGAATTCACTCCTTGTCTTCAGCTTAACCTCCGCGAGTCCCAGGGACTCGGCCTTGACCCCAGCCTCGACCATGACCGCGGCCTCTAAGACGGCTGCTGAATCCTCCACCGAAGGGGCCACAGCCTCCTAATCCTGGGCCCCCCGAGTCCTGGGGCCCTACCGCTGCACCCGCATCATCCGCCATTTGGTGTTTTTCAGAAGAAGAAGCACAGTTAACATTTTAAATTACCCACATATTAATCACTTTGTTATGAATGTTTCTCATGCTGGTAGCTACTTTTTCACCAGTTACTCATAGTTAAATAGCATTTGTGTCTTACACGCCCCTCAGGCTGTACCCTGCTCTAGGTTACTTCATATTATCTAACGCAGTAGCTTTCCTGCCGGGCCTTGCCCTGGATCATCCCACTGTATAAAACTGTCCAGTTTTGACTGAATTGCTGAGATGCGCTGTCTCCACTCGTTGGGCCAAGTAAATTTCAACCATCTGTTGAGCACAGACCATGGCACAGACAGTAACTAACTTTATGCAAATAAACAAAAGCTCATGAAACTGAGTTAGGAGCACACGGCACATGGGAGTATCGGCAAAAGCCACAAACACAGCAACACAGCATCCAAAGAGCTGAGCCGACCCTTCACTTAGGTCATATGAAGGAGGGAGCCCCTTCTGGGCACAGTGGCTTCCTCTGACCCATCATCAGAACGTTCTCACATCCTGGGCACACTTCCAATCCTGCCCCTGAAGCATCTGTTCAGCACTGTCTCCCTCCAAAGGGGCCCACTGCAATTGCTGTTTGTCTGGAAGCAGGGCTGTACCTTGGACATCATCTGTATCTTGTAGAGAACAATGCGTCTGTTACAGGAAGGCCACTTGTTTGTCCCGCTGCCCAGAACCAAAATAATCACACAGAAACTGTATTAATTAAATCACTGCTTAGCCCATTAGCTCTAGTTTCTTATTGATTAATTCTTACATATTAATTTAACCCATTTCTATTAATCTGTGCATCGCCACGTGGCAGTGGCTTACAAGGTAAAATTCCCAGCATCTATCTCTGGTAGATCCATGGCATCTCTCTGACTCTGCCTCCTTTCTCCCAGCATGCCATTTAGTTTTTCCCACCTACCTAAGTTCTGCCCTAGAAACAGGCCAAGGCAGTTTCTTTATTCATTAACCAATGAAAGCAACACACAGACAGAAGGACCTCCTACACCAGTGTGGCTACTGGTTTTTACTAGCCTGTCTAACCACTCCAGTGATGTTTTGTGGGTAGGTATCAGCTCTGCTTTTACAAAAAGGCCCCTTTGAAATCTGGAGCCTTTAAAGCCTTTCTAGTGTGGAAAGTCCTGTCTATGTGTTTCTTTTATTGGTTAAGAATAAAGCTGTTTCGGCCAGTGGCTTTAGCAGAATAGAGCTAGGTGGGAAAACTAAACTGAATGCTGGGAGAAAGAAGAGAATCAGGGAGAAGCCATGTAGCTGCCCATAGGAGACAGATGCATGGGAATCTTGCTGGTAAGCCACAGTCACAAGGCAATTCACAGATTAATAGAAATGGCTTAATTTAAGATGTAAGAGCTAGCCAGTGAGAAGCTAGAGCTAATACACCAAGCAGTGATTTAAATAATACAGTTTCTGTGTGGTTATTTTGGGTCTGGGCAGCCAGGAATGAACAAGCAGCCTCCCCTAACACCTTTCTTTGCTTTTCTATGACTTACGTACCTGTGTGTAGCCTGAAGCCTACATTCTGAGAGTTAGTTAAGAACAGAGTCACTGAAAATAGAAATAAAGAGCCCCAAAACAAATTCTTAGAAGTAGGAGGTGGAAGGTTAACAACCAAAAGACTATAAATACTTAAGAAAACATTATCAATAGATTATAAACTGTACGATGATGAATTTACTTCTGTTTTGTTCTTCCTGATAGCGAATCCATGCACGATAAGAATGATATTAGTCAATGACATATTTATTGAGTGAGTACTCTGCCCAAGGCCCCATGCCAAAGACTTTCTGGTTCTTATCATCTTTATTCCTCAAACAAACATCATCCTTCTTACTTTTAAGCTTCTGCTCTGAAAGAAATGCTGACATCAAGAGATGAAGTAATTAATTTGCTCAAATCCACACAACTACGGAGTTAATGTACTGCATTTAAAACCTGAGCAGTCCGGCCCAGCATTGCAAGTGTGAAATAGGGTAATATTGTCCTCTAGAGTGAAAGCAGCATGTGAAAGAATAGCCACGGCAGGAGTTCCACACTACTGAGGATTCTGAAGAAACAGCATTGAGTTAGGGAGATACCAGCTGTCTCTCTCGAGGTGATGAGGTGTCATTATCTTGTAACCTCTTCGAGGGCCAAGGCCATTGTGCAGCATTGTGGGCTCCCTGCCAATTGTGCTAAACTCCCAGAACCTGCACCACAAAAATAAACATCTTGGCATATTTGCTCTTTCTATCTGTCTCTATCTCCATACACATATGTGTATGAGTTATGAGTCCATATACACATACATGTACAACACATGTGTGCATACATATGCATATGTACTTACTTGCCCACATGTATGTTTAATCATTTCTAAGTAAACTGTAGCTATTCCAGGCAAGCATCCTGGACACATCAGTATGTGTCTCCTAAGAATAAGGACACATAAGTGACCACGCCTATGTGTCACAAACCAAATCAGTATCATTTAACATTTTTAAGAACAACATCTTCAAATTTGCAGGCAAACAGATGGATCTAGAAAAAAAATATTGAGTGAGGTAACCCAGACCCAGAAAGACAAATATCACATGTACTCACTCACAAGTGGCTATTAGACATACAGCGAAGAAAAAATACAGCCTACAGTTCACAATCTCAGGGAACCTAGACAACAAAGAAAACCCTGAGAGAGACATACATAGATCTACATAAAAAGGAGAAAAAGACAAGATCTCCTGAGTAAACTTGGAGTGTGGGGGTCATGGGAGAGGGTAGAAAGTGAGAGGGGAGGTAGAGAAAAATGTATAGCACAATAAAAACAAAACAAGAAAATAATTTGATTATGCACGCTAAACATCAAGTTCTAAGATGAACAGTTGGCAAGCTCACAACCTGGCAAAGCCAATGGTCCAGCTTCAGACCGAGTCAGAGACCTGACCACAGGAGAGGGAACCGTGCAGCTCCAGTCCCAGTGCAGCTGAAACCCAGGAAGCGAATGCTTCAGTTCAAGCCCAAAGCAGAGCCTTCCTTCTGTCCCTGGATCACTGGTCTACCAGGCAGCCCTATTTAGGTGCTGAAGAGTTCCATCTGGACGGGTGAGTGTGTGCTATCCAGGGGCGATAGTCCTGGAAGAGAGCACAAACCCCCCCTCCCCAGCTCCTTCTGCAGGGCTGTCTTTCTTACCACGAGCCAGCATCCCAACACCCCACCCCCAACCCTGCCCTGCTGTATGCTAGGACCAGTGCTCAACAACAGTTTTAAGCTCCTACTTTAAGCTCCTACTCTAAGGCTACCCACCCAGAGCAGTGAGCCTCAAGGTCCCCAGTAAGAGAGCCCGGCACCCTCAGCCTGGGCTCCAGGGGCTCCTGTGCTCTCCTGGATCCTGCACTGCCTGCCCCGTCCTTCCTTCTGTCCCTGGATCACTGGGCTACCAGGCGGCCCTGTTTAGGTGCTG